TCTTCACAAGATTGAGAGGGAGGGGGGAGGTGGCCGACAGGAGTGTGTGAGCGCGGGGCAGCGGCAGGCGGAGCGGGCACGATGCCGCCGAGAGCTTCTTTCCGCGCTGGTGCCACCGCCTAGCTTCTTCCCGCGAGCTCGCCCGCTGCTGCCGCCGGCCACCTCTCCCACATCTGCCGCCACCCGAAAAGAGAAGGAGAGAAGAGAAGAGAAAAAGAAAAGTAAGAAGAGAGGTGGGGCCCACATGATTTTCTCTCACTTACATGTGGGCCCCATATTTTTTTTTTGCTGACTAGGATGCCACGTCAGCGAAACCAGGCATATATACTGCTATGGGACCTAAAATACATGGTTTTACATTGTTTAGGGGTGAAGATTTCTGGTATTGCAGATAAGGGATGTCAAACAAACTCGGTGTAAGTTGAGGGATGGCAGTTGAACTTATTCCTTTTACTGCTACAAAAGATCCAGCCTGCTAGTTCTACTTCAAAGAGTTCAAAGAAAACTGTCTATTTTCTCCCCCAACTATAGACCAAGTCTGACCTCTGTCCCTCATACACAAAGCTAGATACATCATACAAGCATCCCTCAATTATATCACTATAGTCGAGCAAGGTAAAAAAGTTGGTTGGACGATGGTTTTGTCCTACATAACACAGTGACTTAGTCAGAAAAAAAAAGTCATATGGCCCTCTTTCAATGATCCATTAGTTATCGTTCTATCTTCTGTCTCCCTCTTTTCCCTCTTTCTACGAGAAGCCTCAAGCTTGAGCGTAGAGGGAGCGTGGCATCAGCGGTTGGCGAGGCCATCCGCGGAAAGGCACGGTGGACGGTGAGCTCCGTCTAACTTGAGCTCCAGTTCTGCCCATGTAGAAGCAGTGGTGGCCAAGCGAGCCCCGTTAAGCTTGAGCTCACCCACCTCACCTGTCCGCGAGAAGAGGAACATCGGTGATGATATCTGGCTAACCCCCTCAAGCTCCGGTGAAAGTGCGTAGGGAGAGGGGGGGTGGGGAAGATGTGGTGGAATTAGAGGAGCTGTGGTGGAAAGATGGTGAGCTCGGATCTCTAAAAGATATTCAGATGAAAGTATCAGGGCGTGTCTAGTTCGCGAAAAGAAAATTTTTAGATGTCACATCGGATGTTTGACTAGATGTCGGAAGGGGTTTTCGGATACGAATGAAAAAACTAATTTCATAACTCGCCTAGAAACCGCGAGACGAATCTTTTCAGTCTAATTAAGCCGTCATTAGCACATGTGGGTTACTGTAGCACTTATGGCTAATCACGGACTAATTAGGCTCAAAAGACATGTGGGTTACTTCACACTTATTGCAATTAGTTTTTTATTTATATTTAATGCTCTATGCATGTGTCCAAAAACTTTGAGAATTAAAGTAGGCCTTAGATTTTAGATTGCTTTTTTTAATTGAAGATGAAAGTGTGAAGCTATAGTTAAAACTTTCGTGTGATTTGAGTTGACAGTTTTCAAACGAAAGTGTACTAAATGAGGAAAAAAAACGTATGCTACAGTGCACCCCTGCACATAAACGGCATCTGTACAAGTTCATAAAGACAATCAATACACTATAATAAAATACAACACAATTATTTTAACTTTATTTTCCGTTAAGGTGTCGTGGTGTAGTTGGTTATCACGTCAGTCTAACACACTGAAGGTCTCCGGTTCGAGTCCGGGCGACGCCAGATTATCGTTTTTTTTAATCTCCACATGTTTAATACCATGAATTTTCTCTCTTATTCCCAAACTATTTAACGCAAGAAACCATGAAAATGTTCTCTCCCAAACTTAGGGGTGGATTACTATTTAATGCAAGAAACCATGAAAAATTTCTCTCCCCAAATAGGGTTGGATAATTTAGCCAACTCGGTTCATTTGTGCTTGTTATCTTAATAAGCTTTTTCAGTGTAACCATAAGTTACCACGCTCAATCGTTTTATTTGAATTTTTTTTATAATTAGTAATTTTATTATTATTATATGATAAAATATGAATATTACTTTATACATAACTTATGTTTTAAGTTTTTTTTGAAATTTTTTCAAATAAGTCGAACGATCAAAGTTATGCACGAAAAATTATGGCTGGATTTAAAATAGGATGGAGGAAGTAATAATTAGTTGCAAATACGAATACAGTGCTAATTCTAATATTTGAACTCGGGTGAACATGCCCAAGCTCAGTTCGGAGAAACCATGAAATTTCTCTTTTATTCCCAAAATATTAATGCAAGAAACCATGAAATGTTTCTCTCCCAAAATATTTAGGGTCCCCCAAAACAATACTATATGCTAACCATCATTTGAGTAAATTTTCTTCGTTCTCATTTTTCTTTTTGCCACTTTATCTGGTTTGATATTTCTATTTGATGGTTGACCGTGGACCTTACATCAGGGATCTGGGAGGTGAGACGACAATGACATACTCCACTAATTAATAAAATATTTAATGCAAGAAACCACAATTTTTTCTCTCACACCACTTATAGGGATTAGTATATAAAAAAAACCATTTAGGGATTTGCTTAACAATCAGTTAAGTACGTTGTAAACCAACATACCTATTAACGAATCACTAGATCTGTTCCCTGTTCCTCACAGCAGTAGAGGCGTGAGATGATGTGGAACACCCGCGCATATCCCTTTGCCCTTAAAAACATTGCAGAAGTAGACAATAAACATATATATATATGGTGAATGCTCTCTCTTCATTATAGATCTGATTAGTAGTACAACCAACCTTAAATGTCACGTCCTTGTATATATAGGGGTTTTAGGAGGAGATAGATGTTATCTCTACTCTACTCTAGTTCGGATTGGTCAAAAAAAGGATCTTATCTCCCCGGGAGATAATATTCCGTAACAAAGTAAACAATTTTTTTTCAATCGAATTTTCAGCCATTTGATCTGCTAATTTGAGATCTGCGGTAGATGGCGGGCCTGGCATAAGTGGTTGCAACGTGGTGTTGGTTTTGTTATCAGAAACAGCCCAGCCCATGGTCAAGGCGAGGCAAAGGTGATGTTTCCATTGCGGGGGCTACGCGTTTGGTGAGGTAGGCACGAGATGCTGCAGGGTGGCTGCGATGAAGGTTTCGTTTGATTAGCTCACTGAACCATATAGCTAATTTATTACTTCTTTTATTTCATAATGTAAGTCATTCTAGCATTTCTCATATTCATATTAATGTTAATAAATCTAGATAGATATATTAATTATCATCAATATGAATGTGAGAAATGCTACAATGACTTACATCGTAAAATGGGGGAGTATATGTTGGTTTTAAAATAAACTAATAGCTGACAGTGAACTCTACTGTTAAACTTGCTCTAAGTTTGGTAAGGCGCCTCACTACTTTGTTTTACCGGCGAGGAAGGCACGCAGCCGGTGAGCCATCTTAATGTTCAACCAGGTGTCAACGACATCTAGCATGGAGGGTGTCACCTGCCAATGTGGTTGTGCAATTTGAAACACCAATGCAGGGTTGGGGGGCTTGGGGGCCTTGGGGGTAATTCGGCCGGATCTTCATCCTGCATAGGACGTCATATTATATACTGCAAGGATCATTTATCCAAAACAAATTCTCAACAGACTATCGTTGTGTTGTTGCTTAGATCACTTCTTTTTATTTTTTATCGTTGTGTTGTTGTTTAGATCACTTTTTTTTTCTCGAACAATATAGAAGAACTACGTGAAAAAATGCTACTCCCTCCATTAATTCCCCTCGATAGAAGGCGTAATCACTCGTTATGCAAAGACCAATGAACCGAGTAATACCCGTTGCTTCGATCGTTCGAACGCGTGCTGCTTCAATTGTTTCGCAGACATCAATGGCCATGCCCATGCAGCCCACGCTTGGATCCAACACACTTCAACACTGTGAGAGAGAGGTGAGAGAGGTAGTGTAGCTAAGATAGGGGTTAATACAGTCCCATGGTCGTGGATAGAGTCGAGTGCTATGCTCGCTATTAGGTTTTGGTTTTGGGTGGTTCGGCAGTAGCTTCTTTGTTGGTCTAGCAGTGGTCGGTCCGGTGCTAATCTTCTCCTGGGTGTTGTATAAGCACTGTTGGCGCGTGGTGCGTGGTGATACTGATTTTTTTCTTTCATGGTTACTGTCTTCTAGGTTACTAGCTTTATAGTTTTCTCATGCTATATTCAATGAATCATCATACCATCTGGTGTTGGTCATTCAAAAGAAAACGAGAGGGATCCATAGCCGATGCTTTTAAACTAGCCAAACAAAAGAATCAATAGCTGTTATTCTACATGCACATAAAACACGCGAGAGCCAAGTAGTTGCCGTCGTGTATTTGGACATTTTGACAAAATGCAGTTACGCCTTCTATTGAGAAATGGAGGGAGTACCCAACACATACAACGGAAGACATTTTTACATGACAAGAAAAACTGCAACCATGACCGGCCGGAGCACCCTCACAGCATCTCTCTTTAATATGATCAAGGCAAATGATTTTTGTCGATTCAAAGAAAGGCAAACGACTTTTATCTACGAAAATATTCAATGCAAGAAACCATGATTATTTTCTCTCCCAAAACATTTAATATGAGAAAGCATTCCGTTAATGTTTTATATATTGTAAACGCAACCGAACGTTACTTAAAAAAACCACTAACATCGAATTAATTTCAATTTAGGGATTCAAGCATATGTCATCATATAAAGTACTCCCTCCATCCCAAAATATAACAACTTTCCCTTAAGATTTGTCCTAAAATATAACAACTTCTTCACCAACAATTCTCTCGCCAACTAATCACAACCCTCCACCATTCACTTTTCCCACCTATCTCCACTACTCATCCTATCACAACCCTCCACCACTCACTTCTACCTACTTTCTTAATAACTGTGTCCAACTTTAAAACTTTTTATATTCTAGGATGGAGGGAGTAAATCAGTATATCCATAAACTCGCAACGTTAAATGAAATTACTCGTCAGCGAAAAAAGTACTAAGTTATTATGATGAGAATGACTAGCTTAATAATTGTGCCAATAATAAGTCTCAGCCGAGGTCACAAGTTTCCATACAGTTCCCATACAGGTACGTACATAACTTGCACGAATTAAGCGAACGATACATACGTACATGTCGCATTTAAATTAAGTGCGACGAAGGTAGTATGGTACACTAGTACAAGTTGAGAAAAAAAGATCCAAGCAACCGGACCATTGCATCAGCAGGCATAGGATGACAAGTCAATCGATCTCCTTTTTAACATAGGATAGGATTATTGCAGCCTTGTTGGTAATCTCATAGCATGACATCTTCTTGATCTTCTTAAGATGCATTTAACTTCCAACTTCATCCACTCATGCACACAGACAAATAATTCATGGTGGTCGTCATCCCATTTCTCAGCTCTCTAGCTGGTCCTTTTATTTCAAGGCAACCTGAAGATATCAATTTTTTTAAGAGAGAATGGATTAAACCGGTCTCTACATCCAAACACAGCCATCCAATATTTGCGCTTATGTTGAACAGCACAAAGAAATAAGTTACATGAGGAAAATAAATTCGCTTGGTAACTTAACACCCTTGAAGGAGAACACAACACATTCAGAGTACATAGTTCTGATCGATCTCAGGTTTAGGGGGGCACGAATCAAGTAATAAAAAGGGCATTATTTCAATCAATAATTCATAGTTCTTAAGTTGATTTTCTTTGTCGTTTATCCCTTAGTGCAGTTTTCATTTGGATTTAGTGTGAAAATGGATACCATCTGCAGGGAAAGCTTACCTGCCGGGACCAACTAGCTAGTAAAAGATCAAATCCTTAAGTATATTAAAAACTAATTGAGTTCTGGGAAAAGATCATGATATCGTATTCAATCGTCTAGAAAGAATTTAAATTTCGTTTTATCATGTTCCAACAGAACGAGCAGAATTATTAAAATTGTCCCATCTGAGAAAATTTAAATTAGCTACAAAGAAGCGACAAGGGTTCCAGCGGAAACTCACCCTAGTTTCAGGGATATATCAGAACCATCATCATTATCCTGCGAGCTTCCCGAATTTAATGCAGTCATCACAGATTCAGATGATTGTCCATCTTCAGTAAGAACATTTTCAGTATCAGGAACCGCCAAGCCAGCAGTAGGCACCTGAGGCATCTGCATACAAGCAAATGCACAGAATATAAATGCATATTCCGCCGTGCCTGATATGGAGAAACCAAAGGGTCCTCGAATTTGCATTTTATTTTGTAAAACTATGCAAATATTTCGAACGCATATACACAGTATGTATTAATTACTTGGTCTCTGAGGCGCATATTCTCTTCTGCCAGCTGAATGCCCTACAAGAACAAATAAATTGTATCATAAGATTTGTGAAATTATACCTGATTCATTTTCAAAACCAACCAAATCAATTTTACGTTTTGTGCTGATAAATACAAAATATTATATCCAGACATAAATGTTTTACGTTCATACAAAATTTTATCAAAATTTTGTAATTCCGACAATCAGTTTTGTATTAGAATAAATTTATGAAATCTAAAAGGTTATTTTTAAAGGTAAATCCATATATATCATTTCTTTTGTTTTTAAACTAAACATTTGAGAATCTCAAATTATTGATGGTCAACTTTTTAAAAGATTGACTGAATCTTATCCTAAACATTAAATATTTAAGAGCAAAGGGAGTAAAATTCTATTCTAAATGTAATCCTTAGTTGCATTGTTGGATATCGGTGAAAATATCAATTTCTAAATAAATAATACTCCTCATAAGCCTCACGAGAAAGTTTACTGTATCTGAAAATCTATGCATAAATAAACAGGAAGCTGCTGAATGATAACATTTCCATCCAATATATGTCGAGAAAACATTTCATGCCTGAAAAATTGTGCAATAAGTTCACAACAAAAATTGACTCTCGTACAGAGATCCTATCGAACCTCAGCATTTCATTGACAGTCTATTATTGATTTATTGCCATCGTATACCGTCTGCAAGCAACATTCCAATATAGTACATGCACATGTTTCACTCGTCAATATAATTTTTGCTATATATAATAATTTTTGCTATATATAAAGTTCCGGCACTGAATAGTGAATATTAGTACCCTTTAGCTAGTTCTCGACTTCTAGTCACCACTACAGAATGGGACATCGGTGACGGGCCATCTGTAGAGGGTCAAAGTGACCCATCTTTGATGACCTCATCTCCAACTGGAAAAAAAAACTTTAAGATACTACTACATGGGACAATGGGTCAAAGTATGAACTGTAAATAAAGATCAACCATGATGACCCCGATGTGATGGGTGTGGTCATATGAACCGCCACAAATGATAAAGACATCTCAGCGTCGGTGTTAGTAACACATGTTTAGGATGAGCTATCATCTCAAATGGGCTTAATTTTCGGACCGCCACAGATGACCCTACTACAAAGTATACGACCACTCTCTCACTCCCAAATCCCCAAGTGTCGACTGGCACCTCCTTCATCCTTAAGCGTCGGGCACCACCTCATGGACTAGTGGCCTCCCCAAGGTCGGGGGACGCCGGATTTGACCACAATCAACCTCGTGCATGTTGGCTAGATCCCGAGCGTTAGCCGCCGTCTGCTCCACCCCAAGGGCTGGCCGCTATCTCCTCCACCCTTTAGCATTGGACATTGCCTTAGGGATGCTACATCCAACCTCCCCAAGGTCGAGGGACGTTAGATCTGACCACTCTCACCTCGTGGTGGCTAGATTCAACCATAGTTATTGAGACCGGACTGGTAATTGAACCAGTGAGGCTCTCGTTTTGATGATTTATTGGTTCAACCAGTTAAACCACTGGTTTGAAGCGGATCAATGCAATTTAAATAGATAGGTTATTCTTTCAAAACACAAGGTGCATCGTAGCATGCTGGTCGTTTGGTTTGCTTCTATGCATGTGATCGTGGGATCGAATCCCACATGCGTACTTTTTCCCACATTTTCCCTCTCCAACAGCCTCCAGGACGCATGTGACCTTGCACAAGGCAATCCTTGGTGGTTCAATTCCAGTTCAATAGCAATTTTTCTACAAAAACGGGTGACCCAACCGGTTTCTACCGGGTCAATTGCGCAAACGGTCTTTTAGCTGGACCAAACTGGCGGAGGCTCTAGTTCTAGTTTTTTCGGTCCAACCACCGGTCTAGTCCAGTTCCAATAACTATGGATTCAGCCACCTGAGGGAAGATGATGATGGTGACATCGACAAGCAGCCGTGCACCACGATGACAGGAATAGTACAGTGACAAGAAGCTGCGCGCGGGACGGGGATAGTAGAACAATAAGAGCCATGGCACGGAAATGATGGCGGCGTGGCGACAAGCACAACCTTTTTGGATTTTTTTGGCCAAATTTCCCTATCATAGTCATGGCAATTTTGGCCTTTTTTGTGCAGAATTTTCCTATCTGTGATGGGTCACAACTTGTAGACCGTTACATATGATTTCATCATTAACGGGGGTGTCATTCTCACCACTGACCAATAGTTAAATGTCGGGTTGCTCACCCAACCCGCCGTTGATAGTCTTTCTGAACCATCAGAGATGACCCGTTCTCTAGCAGTGTGTCCTCCCTAGAAATACTCCAAAAAGCATATCATATTGACATCTTCAGAATTAGTATATTGTTGTATGTCATATTGTAAACTTCCACTAATTTAGCGCCATTTTATACAAGTTTCTTGCAACTGGCTACACTGCATAGTTTTTGCCGTACACTCACTACTACAAAACCATTAATTGAGGACACCCTCATGTGCTGGTCATCTAAAACCAGCACATGAGGTATATATTTCCTATCCTCCCAAAACCCGCACATGGATTAAATATTGAAAACCAGCACCTATCACCCCTTATAGGTGCCAGATTATTAAAGAAAATCAATCGATACATAAAATATATGTACCGAATTTTTTAATAAACCAAAACTTATAATGTGGATATAATTGCTAGTTTTAACAAAAACACAGCACTGTTAAGGATGCAGCCGAGCCAACAAAATGTGGGACTGTGGGAGCCCACCTCGATTTATTAGGTACCTCTCGATCTTATCTCCCTGACTCCATCCCCAACACACCATCCTTTCTTCATGATCTTTATCTCCCTAGCCTTCTCTCTTCTCGAATGACACGCCGGTCCCCTCGGCCGTCTGCCTCCTCTCCCCTAGCCTATGGGCAGCACGGCCACCTCCTCTCCCCCAAGCCGACAAGCGACGGGGCTGCCTTCTCTCTCCCCAACTCGTGAGTAGTGGGGCCGCCCTCTCCCATAGCCTTTGAGCGGCGCAGCTGGCTCCTCTCTACTTAGCCAACGAGCGGCGTGGCCACGTGTCCTCTCCCCCAAGCCGGCGAGCAATGGCCTTGAGGTCCTTGTTGACCTCTACCAGATCTGATCATCCGCGAACACCAACCGTGCCTCATGGAGTTCCTCGCTAGTCACCACGCCTCCATCTCCTGATCCTACTGTTCGCTGCTCGGGAGCAGCCAAATCCAGCCACCTCCTCTCTGCCAAGCCGGCGAGCAGTAGAACTAGAGATCCCCGGGGGACAAATCTGGCTTGTATGGTGGTGGGCGAGCAAGCAGATTTCACCTTCACCCATGGTGAGCAGCAACGGGGATGGCGACCTTCTCTCCAGTGAACCTCCTCATATTATTGTTGTTGATTCTGTGAGTTTGTATGTTAATGATTTCTAATGTCAATCGAGCTCAGAGACGACCTTGTTCTTGGATGTTATTATGTGTGTTTGTTCTTGGATGTCAATCAAACCTTGGGGGCTATGGGGAACGCTCAAAGCATCGGCTTTGGTTCGAGCTGATGCATCAAGCCAGTTTTAGTTTTTTTTATTCGTGACACCTCAAAGGTACCGGTTCCTATACTAGCACTTTTGATTCTCCCCATCAGTGCCTCTAATAGGGTGCCAGTTGAAAAATCCAACACCTATGGGGGTTCTCAACTGGCACATATTATGGGTTCTGTACTAGTGTCTTGTTGTATTAATAATCATCTTTATCACCAATATATCTATAACAGTACAACAATGACAATAAAACATCTACAAAACCTATTTTCACTCGGTTAAATTTATACAACTGACGGTAATTAAGTTGTGACTAACTTTTTTTTTCCTCTAGGATCTAGCTTATTAGCTGCTTACAGGGACACAGAATTTTGAGAACCCATAGAGAATTACTAGCTATGATTCAAAATACCCTTAACTAGACTAACATGTTTGGCAGACAATAGTGAAATCAATGTAATTAAGGACATTATTACGAGGTTAACAAAAGTAACTAGTGGAATCTAATCATTTTGTTTACCTTTCGTTGGAGCTCACTGATTTCTTGCATGAATTGCTGGTCCTGCATAAGCATATATTGATTAGTTGTCTGAAAAACTTGATATTGTGCCTGCCAATTCATACGAAGCTGAAAAGGGAACACCATCGGATGACACCCAACCTTTGTACAGAGCACCCGCTGCAGTCCTGCCTCGAGGTTCTTTTCCATCTGCTGCAGCTCTTCCACACTCAATCCCTCAAGCTCCTCACCTCTCATCTGTCTATAAATGTGGAATTGTGACATTATCAACTTATAATACGGGCTATTTCTGTTGCAAACAATTTTGTGATATATCGAAATAATAAAATCAATATGGATCAGAACATAATTAACCTAAGTTGAAGACTTGCTTCTGCCAGTTGTTCATTCAAACTGCTACACTTGCTGTGCTCTAACTGAAGAAGAAGGTGAATATATGCATAACTGTTAGTATATGTACGAAGCAATATAATTAAGAAGAAGGCTAGTTACAAAGACAATTTCTATGAGATTCTTGCATTTATATTCCTAGGTTAGAGGACATATAAATGTGTGGAGTTAGTACTTTATGTCACTTTTCTTTGCAGATCCAGGATATTAAATAGTGTCTCACATTTACATTAATTACATGGTCTTATTTTCATTAAGAGCAGGTACAATAGCAGGCTATTAGCTAGCTGTAAACATATTTTAATGAGATAAAAGATGAGAGAGAATAGCAGCGGGCTACAGATCTATAGCCAGCTGCAGCGCAGACTCCAAGACGTAATGTGTGCATGACAGGTGGGACCATATATTAATAATATAGTAAGCAATTATTGTATGAATTGGCTATTAGATTGATTATATATGAATTAGAGATAGTAGCGGGCTATACTATTAAACTTGCTCTAAGCTTGCATCATCATATGAAGCGCGCACTTCTACAAGTTTGTGGACATCGTTGTTGTGCTCTAAACTCATGAAAAATTTAATGGTGCAGAGATCATGCTTTTGAGTTAATATGGGGAACCTATAAAATACTCAAAAATGAAACTAGCACACATATATATATATATATATATAATGTAAAAAAAACAACATGCTACTGATCCAATCGTTTATAAGTTGGTACAACTAAGGCTGCAATCCGTTACAACTGTAGATCGAGTAATAACCTAGCATGATTTTTTTTCTTAATCTAACCATTTTCTTTAAAAAAAATCCCTGTTTGGGAAGACAAAAAATAAGTGAGAAGATTTCTGCACCCTCCACTACTGTCCTAGTTAATTAATTTAAGAATATTTTCATTATATGAGTGGGTAAAGTTATACCTTTACATGTGTAACTAATTTCTTAATTAAGCATAAGCAACTAGCTATAAGAGCAGGTACAATAGCAGGCTATTAGCCAGCTGTAAACATATTTTAATGAGATAAAAGATGAGAGAGAAGAGCAGCAGGCTACAGATCTGTAGCCAGCTGCAGCACGGACTCCAAGACGCAATGTGTGTATGATAGGTGGGACCACATATTAGTAGTATAGTAAGCAACTATTGTATGAATTGGCTATTAGATTGACTATAGATGAATTGGAGCTAGTAGTGGGCTATACTATTAAATTTGCTCTAAAGAACTAAACATAGTCAGCAGAACTGTTTGCAGAAAAAAAAAGTGCTGTTATCATTGCATGTTGACTTATGCATGTATATAAATATATGAAACATTACACCACATATGATCTAATACTAGTTAGTACAAATCCACTTATGATTATGAACTACAAAACACAGAGATTGCTTTACATACATTCAGATCAATAGAAGGCTGCTTATCTGTTTTCCCCAGGTTCTTTGAATGTGTAGTATACTTGTCAATGATCTCGTTCATACTGCTTGACCAAAGAAAAATACCAATAATCAGTATTTGCACCAAGCTGCCTATACATGCGGTATCTATAAAATACATGTCTTCAAGCAAGGTTTTGTAAATTGACTTCAAAGGGGTTTGAACTCTGAAGATATAATAATAATGTATATCTAATATACAAAACCATCTATAGTCTAACACCTTCAAGTACAGCCTCTTTAATAAGAGAATAAATCTTAATTATTTGTTACTAGTTACGCTGAAAATTGGTAAGAGATTCTGCGAGCATCATATATATATATATATATATATATATATATATATATATATATATATATATATATATATATATTCAATTATCATATCATATCATGTTCATATATATCAATGGAAAATTAAACTCTATATATGATTGTCTAAAGCACTCTGAATTTAATCTAATATAATGCATTTTTTTTGTTTCTTCTGTTATTGTCTATAGGAATCCCATATTCAAAAGAGGGTAACATGAAGGAAACCAGTCAGACACCACTCAAGTACATATTGTTTATTGTTGTCAGATGAATTCTGGCCCATTGGTCTAAACTACAATGCATATTTTTCTCAGGAAAAAAACATAAGCATATATAAAGAATATACTACGTACGTATTGCTTAATGGTTGGAACCTAATTCTAGAAGTAAACTTCAATTTGAAACCCTGGGAATTGGGATTGTTGTGTAATCATAATATAAACTGCGTTGGACTAACACTTGCACAATATTTTATATCCTTTCAAAGGGGTGGAAAAAGATAGCTTTGGATGTTCTCCAAGAAGATGTAGCCAGCCAGCCAAGGATATGCTGAGCTTGTGTAGAATTCATACATTTCTGCTAGAGTTATGTGCTACTCGTAATACGCATGCCCATGTTTAAAGTACATTTTGATGTCTTCATCATATATGCTCTTAGTAATAATGTCAGCAGAATCACTGATCTTAAATTATAACAGTGTGCATAGTTTCTTATCTGACTTAAGGTTGTCCAGTGATTTCTGTTCAACGTTTTGTAGAAAAAAATTAAGTTATATAATATAACTCCCACCGTTCTCAACTAGGATACAGTTTAGCAGCACGCACTTGAACTTACAAAAACTATGGCACTAATCTAGTAATATGTGCACAAAAGTGTAAAGTTCAGTCATGTAAGAAAATTAGAAATGCCACCAGTAGGTTTTGATGATATGAATTGTCCCTCTTGTACAATAATTCCTACTGAAATACATACTGAATATATAGGTGCCATAAAAAAAACTATGCCAAGGTCTTTACGTTCTCGATCAGTGCAATTGGGCATGGAGATCGAAAAGACCAGTTTAATTACCAGGTCTTCGTTAACATTTGCCCTTCTGAAAATTAACTTCACCTCAATAAATGCTATGTTACTCCTATTTAATTGTTGTCTGATAATTGTTCACTCAAATAGTATCATAGCGGAATGATCTTTTCCTCGTACATAATGGAGTTGTACGTTGATGGAGAAATAACGAGATGACAAATTGTAGGGAAGAAAAACTAGAGAGCATGATATTGGGCATATAATAGATAAACAATTATACTTAGCGGCTTGGGACATAAGATTGTGAAAGATAATGGTCTTAGCGTCTTAGGTGTATTGTAGAACTGTGTAGATGTTCCAAATGATAAGTAGAAAAAAGTATATAAAATGAGGACCCTAAAAAAGGAATAGTGGAGGAATAGTGTAAAGTTTATGAGGTACTACGACCTTGATCTTCTCACCTTCATTGTTAGTTACACAAAACACATAAATGACACGAGATTATTCTATTATAAAGTTCATGGCATGGTTCTAATTATAAGAACGAAACAAGTTATCATGAACTATATATCAAGTTGTAAATTACAAGCATCAAATATTAAGTTACACCCAAGGACAGTACGTTCCAAAAGAAGAACGCACAGTTCCATTATTTTTGGGAAAGAAGCACCCATATGCAGTCAACTATATAGGCACATAAAAAAATCACACAGAAATTAAACAAAGGAGCTTCAGAAAACGTGCATACAATTATGTTCTCTGATGCATGCGCTCAATCCCTAAATGATGCAATTATATTCTTAAATAGCTTCGACTGCCAAAAAGAAACTGATCAAGATCGATCACACTCTTAAAATGGAGTACCGTACTACTCATCATTATATTAATTAATTAACCCCCTTCTCTTTGGGCATGCTTATATGCGTATAGTCCTACTATACTAAATTAACCCTTTTTTTTCTTGGACGACATACTTATATATGGAACATGCAAAGGCCACGTACCCTCTTGGTACTTGAAATGTTTATTTTTCTCTCTTGGAGAACACCAATAATGGTAAGCTAGCAAGCCCAAATACCCAAAGGCTACAAGAGTGATCCCATATATAGCTATAGCTACAGCAAAGTACCAGCCGGCCACCTGCGCAGACCACGAGAGAGAGAGAGGCAGTAGGAGAGGATGAACTGATCGGCAGCTGGTTCGTTGGTTGGTTGGTTGACGGCTCATGCATACGGCATGCCATGCCACACCACACATAAAATCACAGGTACGGCGGCGCCGCGATTAGCGGAGGCGCCCAAGGCCGCGCGCCGCGCCGATCGGTTTTGGGATTTATTTTTTATCGAGCAGCGTACGTAAGCAAAATTAACCGGATTTTAGAGTGTTCCTCTCCACATGAAAGCAAATGGAATACACGAGAAATATGCATATCTCTCATCTGCAAAAAGCAAGCGATCGAATTTTCCCCGTACTTAGCTGTGGAGATTGTGATTGAAACTACAGTAGAAAAATTCCCCATTTTCGGAGGACCATCCCGGGTGGTAGAATCCACCGGAATCGACCCAGGAATCAGCCCCAAAAACCGCAAGGATGATTGTTCTGGAAGTAGAAAAGAAGGCTCGATCCCGAAGTGGCGTTTCGCGAGAAGCATCGCATCAACCAAACACAAACCCTAAAACCGAAGAAGTAAAACTGTAGAAGAGGGAGGAAGCCCTAGCGACCGGGAGGATCTGGAGCCCTTTCAAACGAGAGAGGAACACAGCAGCAGGTAGCTAGATCTAAACCCCCCAAAAAAATCTCGAGCGGATCGAAAACTAAAAAAAGGGTGAGATCATCGGGTGAGCAGTAGCAGCATCAACAGTAGAGAGAGAGAGGGGATCAGAGAACGCGCTTACTTGGAGCTGGCGAACTGGGAGAGCTTGCCGGTGGAGGAGAAGACGACGAGCGCGACGTCGGCGTCGCACAGCACCGCCAGCTCCTCCGCCTTCTTGAACAGCCCCCGCCGCCGCTTCGAGAACGTCACCTGCCGCGCCGCCGCGCTCTCTATCCTCCGTATCTCCCTCCTCTCCCTCGCCATCTCCCTCCCCCCTCCCCTCCGATCAACCACCACCCCCTCCTCCTCCGCGACAGAAAACTCCGACGAAATCCAAGCAGATTCACCCGCAACAACAACAGCACAGAGAGACAAGGAGAGAGAGAAACGCGCGCCGCAGCGGCGGGGTGCGCCTAGTATATAGCCGCGGCTCGCCAATGGCGAGGCGAGGCGAGGCGAGGAAAGAGAAAGAAAGGGATGTGGCCGCGCGCGGCGCCTCCGATTGGCGGCCGCGGTAAACCCGGGGCGAATAATTAAACAAATCTGGCCGAGCCGAGAGCCACCACCACCGTGCGGTGCGTGTGTCTCCTCTTCTCTCCCCTCCGATTGGGCGCAACTACACTGGTCCTTGTTTATACCAAAAAGAAAAAAAAAAAGGTTAAAAAAAGAAGAGAAAGAAAGAATCCGCACGGGGCGGCTGACACGTGGGGCCCGAGGGGGGAGGGCGGTGAGGAGGCCGTGAAAAATGTGACGACGAAGCGTGCAGTCTACGGAGACGGAGAGTGCGTGTGGCTTCCTGATAAGGAAAGGGGGAGTGGGGGGAACAGTGCTGCAAAGGGGAGAGAAGGATTCTAATCACCTGGATAATTGTTGCTAACCGTTTATCACAAATCAACTGGTAAATGTTAAGATAGATTAATATGAAATATATCACACTAGAAGCATTTGAGATTAAATTTAACTTTTGCAAGTTGTAAAAAATAAATTTAGTTGTAAATATATGTATACTGATTAGAGTTAATTTGTTATTTTTTACAACTTATATAAAAATATAAGTTGAATTTGAAGTTGAATGCTTGTAAATGAATATATTACAAATTAATTTATCTTATTAATTATTTTTTTTCTAATTATTTAGTTTATACGCAATAAATAGATAGATACTGCCTCCATCTCAAAATTTAACTATTTCTAGCACAATGTTCTAAAATGAAGCTATTTCTCTACTTACCTCCTCTTAACCAATCACAATCATTCTTATTCACCTACTTTCTCTTTTCAACCAATGACACACTTCATCCAGTCCGATCATTCTCACCTACTTTTTCTTAATACCCACACTAACCTTAAAAATAGCTATATTTTGGGAGGGAGGAAATATGTATTCGGTTTTAGAGCAGGTACAAATAGCAGGCTATAAGCCAGCTATAAACATATTTTAAAGAGATAAAGGAAGAGAGAGAAAAGCAGCGGGCTACAGATCTGTAGCCAGCTACAACACGGATTTAAAAGACATAATGTGTGTATGACAGGTAAGACCAGATATTACTAGTATAGTAAGTAACTAGTGTATGAATTAGATATTACATTGGCTATAAATGATTTGAAGCTAGTAGTGGGCTTTGCTATTAAACTTGCTCGGGGAAAAGAAGAGCTGCACGCCGGGGGGATTCCCTGTTCCGACGCGGGCCGTGTGGCTGTGGATGTGGCTCTACGTACGATGGAAACAGGGATAAGATTGTGACCGGCTTTACCGTTCTCCTCTGCATTACTCGCAAAAAGGATGGCTCGCCTATCCCCTGAATCAATGGCTAAATAAATAGAGGATTTGGGACAATATCCTACTATGTATAGAGTATGTATAAATAGCATAGAAGTATTATGTATATAAATATGTAACGTACGTACTAGTGTCCTGTATAGAGTATGTATAAGTAGCATATACTAAGTATGTAGGCTCATCGTGATTATCACCGTCGGCCGTCGCTCGACACGGCATAGTCATGACCCGTCACGCTCGAGTTTGTGTAGATTGTCACTAATCGTGCTTAAATACAACGTGACGGCAAGTACATGCACACGGTGGTGGGTGATGGACCTGGATATATAAGGCATTTTCGAGAACTAGTATATTTTTTCTAAAAGAAATGACGAAAACAAACTGTACTCCTCTGAAAATCTCGTAAAATTAATCCATGACAGTACTAAAAGACTTGAAAAAAGCTCCCGTGTGTAAAAAAACACACGGAAACTTCCCAGTCTCCGTTAGCCTGTGTTCAGATTCCTGGAGGGAACTGATCTCTCCCGCATGGAAAACAGAGCGATCAATTAATTAAGTATTAGCTAATTTTTTTCAAAAATAGATTAATTTGATATTTTTAAAGCAACTTTTATATAGAAACTTTTTTTAAAAAAAAACATACCGTTTAGCAGTTTGAAAAGTGTGCATGCCAAACACACCCTTAGTGTGAGTTCTACGATGAACCCTAAACATTTTTGCTTTTCGGGCGCAATCGAGCTACAGTGACTGATGAACCCTGAGTTCCTCTCGACACTCAAGGCTGTTGTTGGCCCGATCTTTCGGTGAGTTGTGATAACTACGATTTGGGAGAAACGTTGACGATCCGACTACAACCGTACGAGACGTTGTGTTGCGCCTTAGCGATCGATACACCTCTCCGTGGGTTGCTGATCTTGCCGGTGCAGATCAACCCTATTCCTGCAAGCAAATCGAAGAAACAAGCAAGAACAAGATAAAAAGCAATCTGATATTGCAAATAGGAATTTAATACAAATGATAAGTTGGGGTTCCGAAGAACAAGCAGACGGACGGTCTAGCCGACACGCGCGCTGCAAGCAAGTAGCAATGGCTAAACTTTAATCTAACAAAACCCGAGAAACCCTGAAGGGGTAACTAGCTATATATAGGGGTGGGAGGACGACCTAGGGGTGCCTAGGGTCGTGCTCCACCAGCTTGGGGCGCACCCCACATGGGCCCCACCTGGGCCAGACTAGCTATATATAGGGGTGGGAGGACGACCTAGGGGTGCCTAGGGTCGTGCTCCACCAGCTTGGGGCGCACCCCACATGGGCCTCACCTGGGCCGGGGTCCCAAATGAAGTTACAAGCCCATAGGCCCATTATAGGTGATGCAACACCTTGTTCCTGTGATTCTGGCCACACGAGATAGAATTCAGAGAAGAGGCTGGATCTGTTAGAAAGAGGGCTCCGAGAGCTTTCCATCAAGTACTCACGGGCCGAAAACGGAGGTCGTATGCAGATTCGGTGGCCGTTTGAAGTCAGCGGTGTAGTAGGTGGCCGAATCGGATTCCAGCACTTGGAGTACTTGATCTCGATATCTTCTTGTTCATCCATGATGTGAGCAATGGTTGCATCCGTGGTAGCCATGGTCACATCATCCTCCCCTTCTTCACGGAAAACCGTCCTCGGTTTTTCCATATGGTGCTCTTTGCGTAGTCCATTTACAACAACCTGTTTCTTCCAATCAAAACAAGGCAAACTCGAGACAATTTGGTTAGCAATAACATTTTTCTCTAGCTTGCATATTTTATCCACATGTACAGGAGGTTCTAAATCCGAGCAGATGTAAACTCTATGCACAAAATATATTCCAAGATCATTATATTCACCAAAGATGTGAAATATAACATTGGTTGGATATGGCAAATCAGACTTAGCAAATAATTTCTCCTTGAAATTATCGAGCTCACAAAAATCATCAAACTGAACATAGCCCAAAGTATTTAAAGAAGATCTCAATTCACGCTCCTCTACTTCATTAGCAATGTGAACAACATGCTTAAAATCAGTGCAGTATGAATTAACAGTAGGAATAGCATGTTCATTCACAAGTTGTGGCATGGATATAAGTGAAGCATTATCGCATAACTCTTCTTTATCACAAGGAACAGCAAACAAATCAATTTGTGACAAAGGAATCTCAGCAGTTGGTTCCACTAATGGTTGCTCTGCTATAGCATGAAAAGTGGACAAATTCAATTCATTAACAACACACTCACCTTTATTAATTTCAGCACCATTAAGTTTACCTTTGATGCCCTCTTCAGATAATGGAGGTGCCTCGACTTTGAGTGTGATCAATGGGACTGGCGGCTCTTTCATGTCTCTCTCCTCCTTTTCATGATTATGCACTTCCTGCAAATGGTTAGTAATAGAAGACAAAAACATAGCATGTTGCTTCTTCATGTCCTCCTCTATTTTACTTTCAGCATTGCAAGCAAGTTGTAACAAATGAGAAAGAGATGTATATCTTTGACAATCAAGCATGTCCTGAATTTCTTTGTTAAGCCCACATAAAAACCTCAATTCTTTAGCTTCTTCGCATTCATCTAAACCACAACGTAATAAACAAGCTTGCATATCATGATAGTATGAAGTAACAGTTCTGGTATCTTGTTTTAAACATTGCAGTTTGTTGAACAAAATGTCAGCATAATACATGGGAACATAAACATCTCTGAAATATCGTTTCAGGTCTTTCCAAGATTGTGGTATTTTGTTATGCCTACAAAGATGTTTCCAATCATTAGAAGCATGTTTAATTAAAACACTAGAGGCACACATAACCTTTTGTTTCTCCGACAAGACATGCTTTTGAAATTCACTATCAACCGCTAGCTCCCAATTAATGTAAGCACGAGGATCATAGTCTCCCTCGAAATAAGGCAGTGCAGATTTGATCTTACCTAGAACATCATCACTTACCTCATAATGGTCATATTGATCCCTCCTCATGTCTCGATGAAGATGTCGATGTTGAGCGCAGCTATCCCCAATTATCTTGCGTATCCCTGCCATTGTTAGTAGAAAACAAGAAACATACACAAAAATATGCGCGTTCCTATTAACTACTAGGTAGTGGCAGCTCAAAAATCGCACACACTCAAGCTTTTAACCAAGCTCTTACAAGATCTTACCAATGCAAGTGGAATGGTGACATACACCGACTCCACCAAGCACCCCAATGAAGGTTGGATGTATCGATGCCTTGGCAAACACTTGCGGTACAGCTGTAATCAAATATGTGGAGCTCTGGGTAGGCTTAAATATGTAGCAAAGGAATAGCAAATGCTCAAATCAGATAATGCAAAGTTGAATAATTGTTCAAAATCAAGTATCGTGCTGGTCCTAGGCTAGAACGTACTAGAGACGCGAGCCTAGACACAAACGATACCACAAGATAGCACTAGAAACAACTCATGCACAACTCTGATATATGAAGTTCAGCTCAAACAAAACAGTATTTTCTCTTTTCTTTCTTTCTTCTTTCTTCTTTTCTTTTTTTTCTTTCCTTTTCTTTTCTGTTTTTTTTTGGTGCGGCTTTTTTTTCTTTTTTTTTTGCACCTTTCTACCTTTTTTTTCACTTTTTTCTTGATTTTTTTAACAAAAACTGACTCAAGGACCTTAATGTAAGATTACAGGGACTCAAACATAAATATAAAATTTACAGGGACTCAAATGTAAAAGTCTAAACCCAAAATTAAAATTATACAAAAAAAATGGAATGCTGAATTTATGCCGGTTCCGTTTTTCCAAAC